AAGTGCCCCTTTTCATATCTGGTCAGTGCTTCTTTTCAACTCTGATAATTCCCCTTTTAATAATGATACGTGCCCCTTTTCTTTTCTAATAAGGGACCTATCCCCTTTTCACCTCTTATAAATGCCCCTATCAAAATCTGATGGGTGCCCATTTTCCGTCAACAAATGCCTATTTCCCATTTTCGTAAACGCCTCTTTTTCATTACTGGTGTGTGCCTCTTTTCAGGTGAAAAAATGCTTCATTTTCACCTCTTAAAATTACCCTTTGTACTTTGACACGTGCTCCTTTTCTTTTCTAATAAGTGTCTTATCCCTTTCGATAATTGTCCCCTTTTCATGTAATCATTAAACGTGCCCCTTATTTAAAGCGACTGAGAGCAATTTCCCCCAAAGTGCGCTCGCTCGCATTTAAAGATGATTATGTTACTTATCAAAGGTCTTTTCAGTTTTCCGTTATGAGAATGTGCTTATAACCCCATCACGATTGGCTTTTTTCCTCTTTATAAGATTTAATTTTTCGCACTGCGACCTCACAGATCTTTAAAATTTTTCTCGCTCGCTTCGCTCGCTCGTAAATGCATATTCAGACATCACACCCAACTATAAAGTATGATGCTTAAGCGATATCTTGTATGATGTATGAAGAGAAACAAATATTGAAATCATCCCTGATAATGTAACACAATGTAGGGGTATATACCAATGTCTAAAAAATTGTATATTTTCGATTTCCCCCTGTAGGTGCCCTTTTTTCCAGAAAGTGCCCTTTTTTGTTGCTCCCCCCCCCCCCCCCCCCCCCCCACTTTGGAAGTCGCTCGGCCGCCCCTGGGAACAATTATTACAAACACTTGACTTGGCAGTACACGATGTTTGACGTGTATTGCATTTAACGCGAGCGCCGCGCGCTACATCAATTCTCATTGCGATACGTCATAACCCGGAAGTTCTGAAGGAAAATTTCGACAAAATGGCAGCTTCCTTGGGGAACAGACCACGTCGTAAATATTAGGAAATGGGATCTCTTTATTGTACTTGCAAGACGATATTATGTGGCCTTTTTATTATAAAGGTTTTTATATCAAATGAAACGTTGTTTTACTCTCTATTTTATGATAATGCTTCATAGTCAAGAGGTTAATTCCCCTTTAATGACACATGACCCTATCACCATTCAAATTGATTTTTAATATACCTCTTTATTAAATATTAGACCTATATATACATATATATATATATATACACATATTTCATTTTATATTTAAACTATAAATAATTATATGTATAATTAAAAGATGCAAACTTAATAGGCTTTTTCATTTTTGGTTTACTGTGCTTTTTGTGAATGCGACCTAGCTTTTCCATGATATTTTATACGTTGTTAGCTGTAGGGCCTTACTCTTTAACCTTCTGAAAGTGACAATTTATTCAGAATATCCCTGAAGAAAAAAAAAAAAACTTATACAAAATATTTTTTTTGTAAACCGCATCCGTTTCACAAAACTTGATATCGATAACAAGTTGCAATAAGCTACTAAAATCGTCGCATTGATTGGCTAAAAGAAAATTTGTCATGCAATTCTAGTATTTGTAACAAGTTGTAACAAAACAGATCCCATGTGCCTTTAATTTGGGAGGTTTAAAATTAGAAACTGAGGGGTATTAGCGCTACATTAAATGTATACTACATTCTTATGTTAGATTGGCTTCAGTAAAAGGGGGAGATGTGAGTTGGTCTAGCGGTGATGTCCGCGGTACTTCCGGTCAGATCTCAGTCACGTCTTTCGGACGGTCCCCAGACGTAACTAATCATTCTTATTATAAACGTCTGTAATTTTTTAGATGTCAATCAAAAAGTGTGATTTTTTTCTTCTTCAAACCTTTAAATCTTCATTAGCGAGTACAGCTCAATCCATCTTTATATGCACTTGATATGTATTCAGAGTAAAATAACTTATAAGAGAACATTTGTTCATATAAACTTGAAGATGGGCTACGACCATGCTGTGGATCATGTAATCAGTTTTTGTTGACCACTCTACGTTATACCTCACGTCGCTTTTCTTTTCACTTTTTAAAAACTCGCGTCGTACCATGGACCTATTACATGGTCGTACCAGTGATGAGAGTTTAATTCTCATCCCCCTGGTCGTACTAAGCAAGCCGCTATATGGCGCTTCAAGCCGTGTAATATCCATAGTTTCCACCACGGGGGGCTGATACCTCTTGCCTGAATATCCTCGCTGCCCGGATATGAGGTGATGGTTGTCGGAATATTGGTACAGGTGTATATTGAAAATTATCAGAAACTGAAGCCACTCCCTCCCCCTCCCTCCCCCTCCCCCCGACGTGCCCACGGTGAGAACACAGGTTGCATTATGTGCACAGTGTGATGTGTCACAATGTAATTGAACAACAAACTTACACTTCAATTAACTGTTTTACAGTGTCAGGTATCAGTGTGTGTTTAGAAATAAATCATTATGGATGACGTGTATGAATATGAAACCGATCATGTGTCGTTTTACTATGATGGTGTAAGGATATAGAGTGCTTTGTGTCCATAGCCAAGTGTATTATAAAGTAGCATGTGTTTACTTTGTAGCATTCTTTATTGCATTCATTCAGTATAAATGAAAAAAAATCATACATCTACATTGATATACAGTGCGTCCCAAAAAAAACTATACACTTTTGAAATGGCTGCTGAATAAATAATATATGATTCTGGGGGGAAAAGTTTTATATGTATGGAAAGCTCATAAACTCAACTTTTTTTTTGCATCTGTGACTTGAATAAAAACCTTCACCCCACATTTAAGTTATTGTAAGATTAGTTGAACATCTCATTGATTTACTTAATAACCAGATGGGGATTATGTAAATTGATTTTTCAAATACGGTTTGTTGACAAAAAGAATGTCACAGATAGTGTTGGCTACTTATTCTTCAGGTTAGATGGGTGATAGATTGAGTGATACATTGTTGATTAGATTGGTAGCTGAATGTTGATTATCTAATGAATTGTCAAGATATGCACAAGCACACCCAGTCAGAGAGAGAGAGAGAGAGAGAAAGAGAGGGGGCATACATGTCCTCTTGACCCTTATCCCATCTACCCAACAAAGTCCTACCCTACATTTCACCTCCCCTGCACCATGTACCATCACCCCGTCCTGACTTCCATGAACACACCACTGAGTCTACCATGGAAACTTACATTGTTATACGGTAATAACAAATGCAATTCCTGTTCACTCATGCATAAAATGTTAATCCCATAAACCACAAATTTCATTCAGCAATCCCAAACTCATCACAATTGATCATAAATTGGTCATATCATCCTCAATTCCGTAGGCTCCAAAGGATTTACCTCTCACAAATTGGAAGGCTACTTCCTGCACAACCTAATTTTCATACCCTTTGCAAAAGTGAGCAGTGTTCACCCAAGCATGAATTATTTTCGGACCTTTTGGTGTCATATAAAAGTTGAGTTTATGAGCTTTCCATACATATAAAACTTTTCCCCCCAGAATCATATATTATTTATTCAGCAGCCATTTCAAAAGTGTATAGTTTTTATTGGGACGCACTGTACATAACATATTAAAATGTAAAGAAAATTGTACAGCCCTGATATATACATAATATAGTTAAATACACAGTACATAATGTCTTCAAATTAATTATACTGAATGAATATCATAGATCGAAGCCTTCCCCTCCCCTCCCCCTCCCCCTGACAAACAACAAACATATTAATAATATATGAGTATTGAATTTGAGGTATTAATAAGGTAATAATTAATGTATTGTAGCTTTAACTAAATGAAAGCTGTTACTAACTAAACAATTGTAATTACTCAGCTGTCTAATCAATAATATTCACCGTCCAGTAGGATTTACCATTCAACCAATCAGACAGATATAAAAGTTTTCATGAAAAAATATCCCTCACCATTTATTCTATAAATTCACATTTCCCTCCAAATAATTGAAAGTCATCATACTGCATAGGATGTGAGCTTGATACGTTGAAGTGCATCAAAGAAAGTCTATTCCAAACACTAATGAATAGTGCTTTCATATTTTATATTGAATTCTCAGGAGTGTGAGTATTTTTTTATTTTAGAATCATTTCATTCAGTACTAATGTTATGATATTAGTTTCCGGAGTACTTTTTGTTCACATGTAAGATGTATAGGAAAAGATGGAGAATATGGTAGAAGACATAGTATTTAGTAAACTGATTAATTTTTATTTCTTGGTTTGCTTAAATTTGGTTGTTTAGAAGGACTCCCATAAGAAATAGCAGTGGACACCGCCTCAAAGCATTTGTATGTGCAGCGGTCATCTTTAACAAAATTAATATCAAATATCAAATAAAATGCCCTCCCCCCTCCACATTTTTGAAAAATTTACGAGAAACTTTTTAATTTTACACGGACTTGTGCATGCTTCTTTTTTCTTCTTCTCCGCAGACGTTTTATTCAATCTAGAATCTGATGGGCTGATGCGATGCGTTTCCACAACAAATCGTATGTTAGATTGGTCTCCATCCTAGTTTGGGCTACAGTGGGTACCCTGGTATACATCGCTCAGAATACAATTAACGAAGCATACAGAAGAGACAGGTGGGTGAACAACATTTCCCCCCATTAAAGTCATTTCTTTTCAAAGAATTAGCTAGCACTGTTTCTAATATTGAGATTCATCCAGTTATTGAGTTAAGGAGATTAACTTAAGGAGATTAACTTGCTAAAAACCAGACCACACCTCAAAGTAGTCCTAAATTATTCATAAAATTCACATGTCGCTCTAAAGAAAAATTGAAAGTACTTAAATGTTTCACATATTTCTATCAATTACAGTTGGAAATCAATGTCTAAGACACATCTACTGTTCATAGTGCAAATCTTATTTAAGCCTGTGCTATCAATTGGAGCTCTCCTGGCTAACTCCGCCTTGATTTTGGGCCAAGTATGGGTTGCCCCGCCCCTAGAGTCGAGTTATGTCAGAACCGCCGTGAAGAACCTCTGTCACTTTGAGTGTGATTATGAGAAATGCACTTAATGGGACCTCTCCATGATTCAATGATCGAATGAAGATTTTAAATGTTTTTGTGACATTTGCCAACTACAAGATGTTCTTCTGATTAGAAAATCTCATTAAAAGAAGGTTGGAGAGTTTTTTTTTTAATACTTTTTTTCTTTGTGAATAGTTTCATGAATTTTGTTGTGGACCTAATCATTTTTTTAACTGATTCAATTTTGCAGATTTGCTGGTGATGACTTAGCTGAATCACACCAAGTTGTCTTAGAACGTGACCTTTTATTCCTGGGAAAAGAGCATCAATTGAATTATCCTTTTGATGTTCAGGAGCAGAAAACAAGACTGAAGCATCCTTATCCATTCATCACAATTGCTCCAAATAATTCAGAACTGTCTTTCAGGATAGATAAAAAGTTTAAATTTTCTGTAAGTACAAGTTTGGTTCGATATATCTCATAAATCAGAAATGGTATTCTTCTTTATATTGCTAATTTGCTATGATGATAAGTGAACGAATTCCTCTTTGTAGTATGAGATACAATATTTGGAAGTATTAAAGGATCAACCTCTTAATATATTATACTTTTCTTTTTATTTAAAAAACCCAAATATTGATGGCAAACGAAAGTCAATAACACCCGAATCTTTTAATACACTATTGCCCTGTATCAGAAGCCTTTTATAGAAGAGTTACGAGAACCCATGATTAGAAACCATTTATCTCCACTTTTGCACAACACTTCTGATGGAGTGTCATAAGCAACTGTGTGTTGTAAATGGAAAGCTACTGAACTCCCTTCAAAATGGGACGTCAATGTCAGAGTTCTGTCTATGAAGGGACTCTGCTTCATGTACACCATATCAGAAAACTACCAGAAAACAATGAACTTGCTAGAAGAAAAAAAATCTAGGTGATAGGAAAAGAAAAGCCCTCTTGTAATGTTTAGGGGAATTTATGTTGAGTTTTTTACCGGTATAGTGGAATTAACAGTTTTGTTCTTGAGATTTTATTGTGGGCTACCTTATAGTCTTATACAAGAAGAGTGTCTACGATGAACTCTTATTTGTCCATCCCTTTGATCATTTAACAGCATTCTTAACTCCAACCCTACACCTTTGACCAAATAAAGCCCAGAACAATAATCGCTGGAGTAAAAAGTCGTATCACTTCATAAGGTTGTGCTTATTGCAGGGGGGAGTTAATTATGTGCTGGATCTCGGAAGTATCGAGTTTCAACATTATTTTTCATCATGATTGCACGAATAAGCTCATTTAATATTTCATAAACCTCTGTTTCTTCAAACAGTCTTGTCCGTATTCGTTACAAGGCAAACTACAGGAGTCCCAATGGGCTTCCCAGTACTATCAACCAGCCGTAAAGATGATTATGACAGATGGCAATATTAATCAGGAAGAATACAAACGTTTGAAAACATACCATATGCCATTTGGATTCTTTGATGAAAATGAGCTCAAGTTTGAAGGTGAGAGTGCTGTGGGAGGGGGGGGGGGGACTGAACCGTGTAGTGATGTAAATATATGTAAAGAAAATGTTCTTAACAAAAAAAAACAAAAAAAAGCAAAAAAAAATTGCACTGGAAACTGAATTTAAATGGTTTTTAAAAACTTTTTTTGTTTACTGTTATTTCTTTATTACCAATTTACCCATGTAAAGATGTATCAGTCCAATGTATGTTTGTCCCATACGTCCTACCAATATCAAGGATAATATCAAGATACCTCTTCTAGTACTATATCTTAGATCAGACCAAATAACAAGGAAACTGGCACTTGTGATGTTAATATATTTATTCTCAATATTCTGGAACAGCAAATATTCAAATACCTGTGACTTGTACATTGATATCAGCTAAATTCTCTTATTCCAGCTTTGTAATGGGTTTTATGTCCGTACTTAAAATGATCATGGATAATGCTAAAAATAACCAAATTGTGCTGACAATGCTTTCAATTTTTATCTTTTTTCATCAGAGCTCTCCAAAACATTGAAACTGTTTTCGGAGGAGGAATCCGTTCTTGGTTTCGGGAATCATCAGAGACCTCGATGCGTGAGCTGTGCAATCGTGGGAAATGGAGGAATCCTGAATGGATCTGGCCTGGGCAAGGAAATAGACAACCATGACATGGTGTTCAGGTAAAAATCGTACCGGTGTCTCGATGTCAATGTTTTGTTTTGGAACGAAGTACATTTGGCTCATGTGAAATTAGCCTGTGTAAGAGGACTATTTCTATGAACTTTATTGCTGCTGGAAATGCATCTGATATGTTGTTAAAGGACTTTATTCTGCAGTGTTCAGATATACGGTGTTATAATTTAGAAAAGAGCTATTGAAATGTTTATAACCCATGAAATGTCCCTGTAAAACTACCGTTGATGAAGTATTACTATCTTATCATTAGCGTTCAGAAATTTATCCCTATAGCCTCATGATAGTCACTCATCAAGGTGCAATTTGTTGTTACCCTTTTCCCTTTATTTGTAGAGTGTTTCAAACAAACCCCCTCGTCTTACCCAACACTTGCAAAGATATTCTTTTGCACACAAAAAAGGGCAAAAGAATAGTATTAATAATAATAATAATAATAATAATCTAATAGTCCACTCCAAATTTTATTAAACCGAAACGGAAATTCTTTTTGCCCAATTGATTGTGAGCCCGGCAGCCACTGAGCAGCGCCAGATCGACGTTGGTCTATCCCTAAAAGAGGCGTGTTCCCCGCATTCCAGAGGGCGTTCAAAATACGTACCCGCTGGCGGACGGTGCTAGCTGCCTATTGACACCAACAGAATACGGCTCTTACGCAGATGGCATGTTCCGAATGCATACATGTGCCGAAGTAATGCCAATCGCAGTTCGGCTCTAAGATTCGGCTGCTGTTTCCGCCCACTTTCGTGACGTCGCGATCGTCAGCGATCAGCTGGCTTGGCGAAGGCAGGCCAGGCCGCCGCGCGTACTTTGATTGACAGCTGTATGCAAATTAGAAGTCAATCTTCGGAACCAAGATGGCGATGACTAGAGCAGCGATAACTACACTGGCGGGAACGTGCCACTTTAATGTTGAACACCAAACAAGGTAGCAACAACTCCCATCTTTTAACGTCTTTTGGTATGACGCGGCCGGGGTTCGAACCCACGACCTCCCGGTTGTGAGGCGGACGCTCTACTGACTGAGCCAACACTCCGGTGACTCCATTATTGTTGTCTATGATCATGTGCTTGATTTAACCTAAATCCGCGGTAACACAAGATATTTGTAGATGATGGATGCATTTAGGAAATTTAACACTTAGTTGTGATTTTCAAAAAATGTACAGGCATTCTTTACCTCACCATTAACTGAGTGTTTGTTACTTACCTTACTAGGTGTATCCAAATACTAGCGAATTCAAGATCTTTATCTAGTATGTTACCTTTGAATGAAATCTAGAACTGAAGTTGAAATTCCTCCATTTTATTTCAGAGTTAACCATTGTCACAGGAGAGGCTATGAGCATGATGTTGGTACTCGGACAACTCATTATGTATTCTTTGACAGATCCCTCATCCATATGCAACAGGCTGATATACCAACAGACAAGGTAGACAATTAGTTGAACGTCGATCACAAGCTCTGGCGACAATTATTGCTCCGCAAATAATGTCCTACTCTAAACTGAAACGTAACTTCAAACCTGGACCACACCCTTTTAGTAACCTTAGTAAGAAGCTGCATCTTTGATTAAGTTTGATAATTGACATTAGCATTTTTGCAATAAATGTTAACTTACATGTATTTTAATGGTCAATGTAAGTTCACCGAAATGTTTGTTTTGTTTTGTTTGTAGTATATTTCATATAATCATTGCTTTATTCTTACAGGGTATCAAGTGGGTCTTCCTGCCTTGTAGATTAAACGACTATCACTACATCTCAGAGGTCGTCAAGGGAACTAATCCTAAACAGAAGCTGAAAGCTCAAGCTGCAGACGTCAGACTACTGCACCCAGACTTTGTCAGATATGTTCACAAAGTGTGAGTACTCTTTCAGCCCTTAAAGGTATAGACCAGTTCTGGTCATGCGATTGCATTGTGAAAGAAACGCTGTGGAATCGATCAGAAAAGGTTGATCATCTAGCATATCAGTATTGGTGTGTACTGCAGGGTTTTGGAATCATCAACATGATAGGAAATTTGGCCCAGTCTTGAAAAAGTTACAAGCACCTGTACACAGAAAGATGTATATGGGACTACGCGATATCTATCCAGTTCGGATCGATATGATAATTTACCAAATATATCAATTAGTAGGCGGTTTCCCGAAAAAATTGTATCATCACGTATTAGTCAAAACATATTCTTTCACGTGATTGGTAATGAGAGCTTCCATTCCATTTTTTGAGAGGGGGGGGGGCGTTTCCGAAACTGGTCTATACCTTTAAGACAATGATTGATCAACATCAATCTATTGTTTCTCAGCACACTGCTAAACAAACCGGTTTTTGGCCATTTGAGGTTATGTATTCTTCTGTTTTGTCTATTTTTTTTTACCGGACTGTTAAGAAAGCATGTTTATGCTTGTAAGTAAGCAACCAGGGGACTGACAGCTTGAAATCCTCTCCGATGGACTTGGTAATGAGGATTTAATGCCTAACCAAAGGAAATTAGTTCATCGACTTGGTTTCAAATCCAGAACCTCCCAGTTACATGACCACTGCTCGACCATTGAGCCATCGCGCCTGATATGTTTTCAGTCTGATATTGGTCTCTTCGGTGCATTGACTAGGATAGTAATCATTATCAATCATGCTACTAGTCAGGACATAATTTTGTATATGATTTAAATATTGTACATACCATTTAAATACTGCAACTGTCTCTCGTACTCTCTGGAATTTACTTATAGAGGGGATATGATAAACTATTTGCATCAGTAGAAATATTTGTTATTGCTTTTTTCTTCTTGACTGTGAAGTAGAAGTTGTGGGTCCAAATCCTAATGGTACCAAGGTCCATAGACAAGGAATTTGATCTACTCACGTTTCAGTCAACTCATATGAAGTAAATGATTCTTTGCACATAATGCCCCCCTCCCCCTTCTCCCATCAGTGAAAAGGAAAAGAAATAATGAGAAAGAAATAGAGAGGTACAAGAGGAAATAACAGAAATAAAGAATATCATGATACAATCCCTCTTTTACACTCTCTTCAATCAATGGCCTAATAGTTCTCCCGCATTTATTAATTCAAGCAAAACCCATGCCAACAACCCCCCCCCCCCCCAAAAAAAAAAAAAAAAATGCCACTGTATATACATATCACCTATATACATGCTCCCCCTTCGTTTGATGTTTTCAGCTGGATGCGGACTGAGTCTTTCCGTCCAAGTACGGGTGCTGTGATGTTCATGACGGCTCTCCATTCTGGATGTGATTCTCTCAGTGTTTATGGCATGGGATTTAATCACAAGTACACATCGTACTACTACGATCAAACCTTCACTATTTACAAGAATTTGAAACAATGGCACGATTTTGCAAGAGAGATTGAGATCATGAAGAAATTGGACAAAGCTGGTATTATTAAGTGGTACAAGAGAGATGTGCCTGAATTTTATTCGTAGCCAATTGCTGGCAAGACGCACTGTTTTTGTCCCATGATACATTTTTCTCTATTTTTTAATGGAATTTGTATGAGCTGACTGAAATCCTACCAAAAGGAGATAAGATATTATGTTTGTGAATGTAGAAAGAAATTTTATTCTTTGGACATTTATTTGTCTCACAAGGTGGTAGGGAGACAACAATTCCCCACATGTATACAATTTGTATGTATTGTGAGAAAGATAGAAGTACTTTTTTATTACTTTTGATATATATTATGTACTGAATTTTAACATATTCACCTTCACCTAAAATCTAAATTGTACCAATCATAAGTACCATGAGCTGTACATAACCATACAGTATTTTGAACGGGGGGGGGGGGGGGGTGGTACTGTTATGAAATTGGTTCCTACTAATTCCATTTTTTTTAAACTATTCTTATTCATACCTCTTATATTGATGTCATCAATGGAATCATTGTAGAACCGAAGAGAGAAGAATGCCACATTCAAAGTCGCATTATGCCGTAGCAACATTGGAGTTGACAAAAACGCCACTTCTTTGACGATCAGCCATGCATGAAGTTTCCCGTCTTCTTTTGTGCATGGCCGATCGTCAACGAAATTGAGTTAAGTCTTTTATCAACTCTGTTTGTTGCTACGGCAGGCAGCTAGTGAAAACGAAATCGTTTAATAAAATGATGGAAATGCAACCATTACTTTAAAAAAAAAACAGAACTTTGTTATTCCTTGTAGGGATGAGTCATGTCGGGACTTTATAAACCGGGTCCCGACGGCCTCGCACCGATCGGGACCCGGTGTCCCGAAATCAGCTCGCAGGATTTGTCACTTGCCTCTATAAAAAGCGCATATCATCAGTATGTCCCTTAAAACTTCCTGGCTCATTTTTCCTGATTGAGGTGTCATCATTTTATGAAAGGGAGGAAACTGAACTTTCTAGAAATGTGATGTTCTCTTTGAAATTCAGATACCGTTCGCCAAATGACTTTTTGGTACCCTTTCTTCAAATTGTTTTTAATAACTCATGCGTGAAATATGCATCATTATGAGTTGCATCAAATGAAAGAGAAGGTTCTAAGCTTTACAAATATGTGTCATTTATTGATTCTAATTGTGATTAAGTTATGGTAAAACATCGATAGTTCTCGGTTTCGTTTTTTTTCTGGGACGCACTGTACATCTACATTTTATTTCACCGGCGTGTATAGATTTATGTCTATTTCTTCATTTTTTTAATTAAACTAGAAACCTTCATATCTTTGGTTTAGAAATCACTCAATTCGTCCTCGTGTGCTACCTACTCCGTCATTGTTGCAATAAACATGTAAATCATTCATTCTTAAATTTCTTTTTTTACTCAAACAAATGGCAATTTTATGTTGACAATGAAACTTGTAAATCGCATGTAAGTATTCAATATACATGTACTTATTCAGTTTTCAATATTATTGTTAAAGTCTATCGATGTACTTTTATGCCATGTACTTTTTACTCTGTAAATTGACCAACTTCAGCTCTTATCTGTATATTCGATGATTGAATTAATTTTAATAAACCAAACCAAGAATACCATGCATGTCCGTATTAAATCATTGTAATCAATAAAACAATATTTTGGAGTTGAATCTGGGTTACCTTTTTATGACTCACATTGTATTCTATTTTAAGAAACTGTTTAGGAATTACTATACACTAATATTTACATTATATCAATTTCACATCTATCGATCTTTATTATAAAATTAGTTTTTATAGTTTATTGACATACTTGCACCTGTAGGGCTATATACAGGCACTAGTTAAACATTAATAGAAGTAGGCATATTTGTTTTTGGCTCTTAATGACGAACTGGATTTTTAATCTATCTTTATTACAAATTAGACCTTTATATATTTCATTTGACTTCATTTAATATGAAATATAAATAAATATATATAAACATGTATTATAGGACGCAAACTCAATAGGCTCGTTTCATTTTTGTTGTACCGTGCTTTTTGTTAATGAGACCAGGCTTTGCCATGATTTTTGTCCATGTTGCTAGCTGTATGACCTTACTCTAAAACATTCTGAAAAAATGATAATTCAAGTTGAACTTGATAATTTATTCAGAATATCCCTGAAGAAAAAAAAACTTATACACAATGATAACAAAAAAACCCGGATCCGTTCCACAAAACTTGATATCAATAACAATTTGCAATAACTATTACAAGCTATTGAATTCGTTGCATTTGATTGGCTGAGAGAGAAATTGTCAAACAATTCTATTATTTGTAAGAAGTTTTAACAAAACAAATCACATGTGCCTACGAGCCCCTCTGCACTATTTATAGCTACTTGCGCCCTCTATATAGCAAACGATGCCTGAATCGGTGACCATTGATTCCCCATGATCTCCTTTTTCTTATGTTTATTGAGAGCTGATTTGATGAGATAACCACCTGCCATTAGCCCTGCAGGGAGGTCTAATCCCTTCTGGCTGCGTTCGATGGGCTTTAAATTTGGAAGGTCTAAAATTTGAAACCGAGGCCCATTATATTATAGCGCTAACGTTTTATTAGGGGAGATGTGAATTGGTCTAGCGGTGATGTCCAGACGTAAATCCCCAAACGTAAATATATAAACGTCTGTAAAAATCATAGTGACACACATTATCCCCCCCCCCCCGCCGCCCAACCAGCACCACCACATTCTGTCTACGATTGTACATGTAATGTGCAGTAAATCTGCATAACATACAGGGAACCCTGGCATATGAGTCCTTCTCCTTGCATGCAGGGGCGGCCGAGCGACTTCCAAAGTGGTGGGGGGCACCAACAAAAAGGGGCACTTTCTGGAGAAAAAGGGGCACCTACAATGGAAAATCTTAAAGTGAAAATATACAATTTTTTAGACATTGGTATGTACCCCTACATTGTGATTACTTTATCAGGGATGATTTCAATATTTGTTTCTCTTTATACATCATACAATATATTGCATTGTACTTTGCAGTTGGGTGTGATGTCTGAATATTCATTTGCGAGCGAGCGAGGAATTTTTTTAAAGATTTGTGAGGTCACACAGTGCGAAAAAGTACATCTTATAAAGAGGGAAAAACAATCCTGATGGGGTTATAAGCACATTCTCATAACGGAAGACTGAAATGACCTTTGATAAGTAACATAAATAAATAATTTATAAATGCGAGCGAATTTTGGGGGAAATTGCTCTTAGTCACTTTTAATTAGGGGCACGTTAAATGATGAGAGGAAAAGGGGACACTTATCGAAAGGGATAGATTAAGAAACTTATTAGAAAAGAAAAGGAGCACGTGTCAAAGTACAAAGGGTAATTATCAGAGGTGAAAATGAGGCACTTCTTACACCTGGAAAGAGGCACTCACCAGGGATGATAAAAGGTACTTCTGAGAATGGGAAATGGGCATTTGTTGACGGAAATAGAGCACCTATCAGATTTTGATAGGGGCATTTATAAGAGGTGAAAAGGGGATAGGTCCCTTATTAGAAAGGACAAGGGGCACGTATCATTGTTAAAAGGGATATTACCAGATGTGAACAGGGGCACTTATGAGAATAAAAAAGGGGCACTTATATTAAAGGAAAATTTGTATTTAACAAAAAAGGGGGGCACCGATCAGATTTTAATAAAGGCATTGGTCGGAGGTGTAATGGCGCTTTTATGAGAAGGGGAAGTAGCTTTAATTAAGTAGCTTTAAGAAAAATAGTCACATGTCAAAATAAACGGGGCACTTATCAGCGATGAAAAGGGGTAATTATGAGAAGGGGGGTGGCACTAATAAGAAGGAAAAAAGGCGTTTACTAGAAAGGAAAAGAGGCACATGTCAAAATAAAAGGGGCAGTTATTAGAGGTGAAAAGGGGCACTCATCAGAGATGAAAAGAGAAATTATCGGACGGTGAAGGGGGCACTTATCTGAAGTGAAAAGGAATAACTTCTCGTACCTGAAAAGAGTCATTTACCATAGGTGAAAAGGGGCATTTATGAGAAGGGGAAGGCGCTCTTTTTTAATTTAATGGGGGCACTTATCATAAGGAAAAGGGGCACGTGTTAAAATTAAAGGTGCGCTTATCTGAGTTAGAAAGGGGTAGTTATTAAAAGGGGAAGGGGCACTTGTCAAAGTAAAAGGGGCACCTCTCAGATTATTTTACAAGGGCAATTATCAGAGGTGAAGGGGGCACTTATCAAAAATGAAAAGGGCACTTCTCGTGCCTGAAACGGGGCATTTACTAGAGATTAATATAGGCACTTATGAGAATGGAAAAATGGACACTTATTGCAAAGGAAAAAGGCAAAAATTTTCGAAGAAAAAGGGGCACGTGTAAAAAAAAAGGGCACTTATCAGAGATGAAAAGGGGAGGGGCATTTTTATAATGAAATAGGGGCACTTTTCAAAGTAAAAGGGGCACTTTTCCCATGTAAAAAGGGGCACTTTTTCGTCTGTAAAAAGGGGCACTTTTGGGGTACTTGAAAAATGGGGGGGGGGGCACTGAGACTCCCTGCCCCCCGGCAGTGCCGCCCCTGCTTGCATGATCTAACTATAGAGCTCTATCCAGCTCTGTATATAAATCAAGGAGTCACTACCACTCCGGAACTCCTATATATATATATAGGGGTGGAACTTGTTCTGAGTACAGTGTCCTCCCACCTCAGTCTAGCTACGGTGGTACGCGCCCGCTAGCTAAGCTGATCTGATCTTGTGCAATGCAGCAAAGCATGGAGAGTCATAGACCGAATTTTCCGTCTCTTTCGTTCGTTAGCCTCTTTCTGGGGTAGGGTCGGCCGGCTCTCTCTTTAGAGACGGAAACCGTCTATACACATTCCCTTGATAACGCCACGGCCATTTCAGGTCGTAGCGTTTTGCCCCCAAAATCCCCAAATTATTGCATTGTACATGTTCCAAGCTGCATTCTACGTGTTTCAAAATTTCTATCTTTCGGTAATTGTATTGTTTTGACTACACACTCCCATTAT